AGTTTTGGGTAACATAAGAAAGAAAAGTGACTTTTGGGTAATGCACACAAAGTTTAATGACTTTTACGTAACAAAAAAAGTGACTTTAGGATAATAAACACAAAGTTGAATGACCATCCATAAAATTTACTCGGTATACTTACTATACTAAAAATCGAAATTGTTAATCCAAATAATATCCCGAGAAGTCAATCAAAATAAATAGAGGAATTTTCATAAAGCACTACATTTTAGTAGTAATTAGTCATCTATAGATATCATTTGCTATATTACGGATTATAGATACCTTTTCTGTGGTTATAAGATGTATTTGATGTATTTAAGCTATTGTATTCATAAATACATGAGCAAAAATAGGCGTGAATCAGGGAAGTCCAGTTAATCAGTTGTTGTATTCGAGTGTATTCGACTGTATTCATGGAGTGAAACGTGGTATTACAGTTGGACAGATTATTGTATTCGATTGTATTCACGGCGTGAAATAGGGGATTACACTGTTTTTAAAACGGAAAGTGAATCAATTAACATAATAGATTTCTAATATAATTCAACAAACTCAATTATAACACACAAATTTTGTATTTTCAGTTATAAAAAAGATTCTCAACCAAAAATACACCAAAAGCATAGCAATCTTCAGAGAAATTATATAATACATCTGAATACATAAATTATATGAATTAAAAAAACATATGAATACATTCATGGCATATAGCGAGATAGTGAATACAATGAAATACATAGAATACAACGGGATACATTGAAATACAATGGAAAAAAAGACAGTAAATTCAATGAAATACATGGAATACAACGAAATATATTGAATTACAATGGAAAAAAAAAAAGACAATGAATGCAATGAAATACATGAAAACACAGCATAATACGTTGAAAATACATTGAAATATATTAACAGAAAAACAAGTTGCTCAGCCCCAAAATCCTTCTTCTTTGTTCAATAACAAACCCTAATTTTCGACGAATTCGCCGTCGAGCAAAAACCCTGAATCTCACTGTTCCCACACATCCTGTACATTACTTTTGACACATCAGTACCATCGTAGCTTTTGTACCACTCCTCGCAACTCCCAGGTACGAAGCCATGATCAAACTCACCAATCCAAGTTCAGATTTTCATCTGTATTTATCCAAGAATCCCTAGGTACAAAGCCATGATAAAAATCTTGGATAAAACTCTCTTTATCTGTATTTATCCAAGAATAACCAATCCAAGTTCAGATTTTCTCACTTTCCAGTAGCATTTGCATACCCATTCTAGAGAATAAAAAAAAATCCAAAATTTTCACATTAGGGCAACGAACCAGAAATTGGCTTTTTCAGCCACGTCGAGTCGAACCAGAAAAGAAATCTTTACTATAACCACTAGGGCAACGAACAGAGGCAACAATCGTGGTTTTGTGAGAAAAGAGAGTAAAGTGTATGCAAAAAGAGAGAGAACGTGGTTTGTGAAATATACCGTGATTATGTGAGAGAAAATCTGAAAAAGGAGAGAGAAATATTAATTAGCGTATATGGTGCCTTAAGTGTATGTTATACCTATAATTAGATATTTTGTTATAAAGGGTAAAAGGTAGCTATATAATATATTTTTTTAAAATGATATTTATTTAAAATAAATAGGGTACTAAACTTTTCTATAGGGCGTAAAATTTCCAAATAGATATCACACTAATATCTTACCTAATTATACCTTACCTCACTTGTCCATAACTCTCTTATCTGTAAACCAAACCATTTCAAGGAGCAAGGACTAAAGGGATGCATGTATCGGTTATCGGGTAATATCTCAAGTACGGGCTGGACTGGAAGAGACAGCTTCATTGGGCTAAATTGCAAAGCACGACAGAAATGGCCCAACAATCGAATATTTCTGGGGGGTTTCACTTTTAGCCCGCTTCAAAACTATTTATATGCGGTATCCAAAATGATGTATAAAATTCATATAATTTATATATATATATATATATATTGGTTAGGAACTATATATTGGTTAGGAACTATAGATATTTTTGGCTGAGGGGCCAAATACGTAACTTTTCCAACCAAGAAAACTGTCTTAACATTTCAGGCAAACTCTATATCGGAAATGGATTTAAAGCTTAAATGTTATACTATATGATAGGGCACGTATGAATTTATATGGTATGCACATTCTCAAGGACAGAGCCATAATTTAAAGACCGTGGGTTTCGAATTTGACATCAAACTTGTAGCTCGTTTTAATTATTAAGCTCGCAACTAATTATAATCTCATATTTTATTAAGTTTCGAATGCAAATACATAATTTAAATAAAAATTACTGGATTCGCTTGAACTTGCAGTGACATAGGCCAAGAAACAAATCCCTAAAATTTATTGACCCAAAAACAAACATTAATGCATATCATAGGTTTGACTGTGAAAAGTACACGATATACTTCCTTATTGCTCTGACGATTGTCATATCATTTTTAGGATGGTGTGTATACCTATCTTGCTTGTGATAATTACTGTTAATTAACATTGTTTTTTGTTCCTACTTTTCCCTTTTTCCTTGATGATGCACCAGAGTAACTGTTTTTTTTTTCGTTTGCCAAAAATATATTGTGACTCAAATCTAAAGCTAGAGGCTCTTCATAGCTCATACTACTAAGATGATAAAAACGGTAGCTCAGTACACAAGGCATCTCGCGTTCGCACGCCGGATCTTAAAGGATGTGATTTAGACAGTCTATATCATAATACAAATATTAATGGCTACTTTTACGATTCAAACATTTGATATATATGTCACACGAAAACAACTTTATCGTTGTTCCAACGCTCCCTTCTAAACTACTACAAGATGATAAATAAATGAATACCTATGTAGGACACCTGGTATAGTGGCTTAGAATTTAAGTAAAGGATATTGATGTCCATGTCCTTTTATTGTTCTTTTGTCTCCCTTATATTATCCCACCCCACTTCTCATACCAGCCAGAATTTTCCATTAGTATAAAAGAAACACCAAATATAGCAGATAAGGATTCACAAAAGCTGGCCAAATTATTTATAATACAAAACCATGCGCAAGAAAGAAATGATTTATATACGCTCCTTTTAATTATTTTTAATGGTATCCGTTAAAACATACATATGATTAGTGTCAAATGGCATCCATGGGATTGTATAGTTATACTTAAGTAAACATAAATTAAAAACACATAAATCTTGAGTTGCCGACAAGATTTATAAAATGTTCTTGAATTGCAGAGTTGGGTCATTCAGCTTATAACGCAGTCATCAAAACAAATTTAAAATTAGTGAGTTTAGTTAAATTCTAAGCCACTGATAGTTTAAAAAATACGAATAATTTCAGAGACCTCTCCTCATCATACTGGTTTCCCTTGTTATTTAGGATATTAGTGTAATGAGGCCAAACCTAAGGGGAGGTCTATGAAATTATTCAAACATTATTTTAGTTGTCTTACATGAGGCGAGGGTATTCCTTATTCCATTGCATGACAACTTTTGCTCATCCATTCTGCCCGTCTAGACGTCGCACTTTTTCTTATTATTATCTACCGTTCTTTCTTTCCTCCTAACTATTCACGTAAAATTTTGGTTAAGGGAACCCGGGCCCAAAAAGACCATACTCATGTGCAACTAATTCAACAGGACCACTTATAAACCCAATAATGGATAGGAGTGATCATACTCAAGGACGAGAAGCTCTCACAACATCAAGATAAAGAACAGCTCACATTCGAAGAAGAGCGTTTAATCAAAACTGGAAGAGTGAGGAAATGAAACAATATATCACTTATAAGGTAATTGCAAATAACAATTTATTTTTAATTGATATTGATCGACAACTTTAAAAAATTGACATTTTTTATATAGTAGGTTAAATTATACCGATAATCCAAAAGATCTTTTCACGATCAATAAATATATGGTTGGATTGTAAAAATGAAAAATCATGATAGATCATTCTATCATTGCACTATAAAAGAAAAGGAAAGAAAAATTTAAACGTACCACCAATTGGTACGAGGGATTAGTCGAGATCTCCTTATCCTTAACTAAAAATTTTAGATTTGAAACATGTAAATTGAAAATATTTTAGAAGGAATGATTTACACCTAAATTCGAATTAATAGGAGTCGTAGGCTTCGAATACCGAATGGTTAAAAAAAAAAAACATTTAACGGGGCCAATTATAAAGCATCCTAACTAATCCATAAGAGATGCAAGGCAAAGTAGCCAATAAAGTATTAGCAGCTGTTACACTTAATAATCCTGAGGATGAAGAAAAGGTCCTACATCTTCATGACACTCACGTTCTAAACCAGTCCCACAGTCCCTCTAAGGAACAAATTAAAGGTAACAAAGTTGATAAAATGATTATATCAAAAAAGAAGGAAAAAAAGGTACACAGCATAAGATTAAAAAGTTTGTCATGGCCCAACGTCTCATCATACTAGAAGCTGGCTTAGTCATTGCAATAACAAAATATAAAAGAGAGAGACCATACTTTAATTACTCCTATTAATTACTTCTTTTTTTATCCTATTTGATGTGAAATACTTTTTTTTTAATCTGTCTTAAGAATAAATCTCTTTTATATTTAAAGATAATTTAACTTTAAATTTATCTATTTATGGTAAGTGAACTTTCTTTATATGCCGAGTAAGAAATGTATAAAACAAAACCCTCAAAAAAGGCTCAAACATAGCTACAAAAAAATATTTATTGCATCTTTTAGATTACGATGAGTTTCAAAAGTTTTTATTTCTTTGTCAAGTTCTGGATTCGATAAAACAAAGAAGGACAGTTCGGTGCTCTAAGTTCCCGCTATGCGCGAGCTAGGTTCAAGAAAGGACCGGACCACAATGGTCTATTGTACGAAGCATTACCCTGCATTTCTGCAAAATGTTGTTTCTTCGATCAAACACCTTTACAAAAATTAATGAGACGGGTGGAGTATTTTTTTTATGCACTCATTTCTTCTCCAACTACCTCATGATTATTATCACATTCTTTTTTCTCTCTTATTATAAGTATCAATCCTTGAACTAATTTCATCACATTAGTTCAGAAAAAGATGGGTAGAACTGGAGCTAGAATGCCAAGTTTTTGCCTAAATAGAATTAGGCCTCATGTTCAAATTCGTTCACCACCTATACAAGCCAAAAACAATGAGAATTTAGCTAAGAAAGTTGAATGTGATGATCATGAAGAGAAAAAAGATACCTCATCAACCATGGTTGAGGGAAAAAACACCGGTGATATCGCGAAATCGACACCGATAATTGGCCGGAAAATCATGATTGTAGTTGATTCTAGCCTTGAATCCAAGAATGCATTGCAATGGGCATTAACTCATACTGTTCAGAGCCATGACTTACTTGTTCTTCTCTATTTTACTAAGTCTTCTGCTAAACAAGGTTTACTCTTTTGCCTTTTTCCCCTTCTTGTTATCATTCTTAATAATTACTATTTTATCTTATTTATTTTGTAGTGATTTTTTATATATGGAGCTAGCTAATACATAAAGGGAAGTTCTCATACTTTTGTGGTTTTTTTTTCATTTTTTTTCAGATGAAGATTCTAAAAAGGAAATAAATCCAAGAATTTTTGAGTTTCTTGCTTCCATGAAGAATACTTGCAAGCTGAAAAGACCTGAGGTGTGTCATCTCATCAATTTGCTGTTTTAAATAGAAATTATGCTTTTAATAAGATAATATTCTTATCTTCTTCTTCTTATTGTTTCTTTTCTTTATTTCTTTTATTTTAAGTCTTAACTTAATTCTGCGTATTGATTTTTACGCAATCAAGTCGCTTAAAAATATTTAGGATATGAGCTATGCATTAATAGTGTAATTTATTTTTGCACAACGAGCATAATTTAACATGTTCTAACAAGTTACTTAGTATGATAATTTGTTATATATTATCAATAACTATTTATTAAATGGAGCTATCTAGTATATGTATCCTTTTCATTAGAATTGCCTGATTGTAAATATTTTTCACATAGTTAATATATAGAACTTAAAGCTGTCTATTGCCGTGATAAATGAAGCTTGCTATCTACAAAAGTAAAGCAATTAGCAATAACAAGTTAACTTACACTAATAACATAAATAAATTTTACACGGTCATTAAATATATATATATTATTTTTATTTTAACCTACTTTGGTGAACAGGTTCAAGTGGAAGTGGCAGTGGCACAAGGGAAAGAGAAAGGTCCTGTAATAGTAGAAGAGGCCAAGAAACAAGAAGTGTCACTTCTGGTCTTAGGGCAGAAAAAAAGATTCATGGCGTGGCGGTTGATTATGATGTGGGCCGGCGGTCGGCTGACTGTCGGCGGCGGCGGCGGCGGCGGCGGTGGGGTGGTGGAGTACTGTATTCAGAATGCTAGTTGCATGGCAATTGCAGTGAGGAGAAAAAGCAAGAAACTTGGAGGATACTTAATTACCACCAAAAGACAAAAAGATTTTTGGCTTTTGGCTTAATTGCAAAATTTACATAATATGCTTCTTGTAAATTCATAATTACAGTAACTTATATTGATTGGGAAGGGAAATGGAAAGTTATTAGTGAGTCAAAAATTATTATTGGGCAATGTTGTCTGTCAAATTAACTGATCTTTTTTTTCTGTTGAAGCTTTACATATGCCAGCAGTAATGAGTTCTCAACCAAAAAATAAATGAAAAAATAAAGATTTTACAAGTTCAAAATTGTAAAATGAGAGCAAAAGAGAGATCAAAATTGCTTAACGGATTTACATGCGGATCCCAAATTTAAACTGTGTGTGTTCGGAAATAGCTAGGCGTAATTGATAAAGTTATGACATGTGACCAGCAGTGCAAACAACTTCTTGCATTAAGGCTACGTGCAATAAATCCTTATAGTTCAGCCCAATTCCCCGGATCCCGCATATAGCATAAGTTTAGTGCATCAGACTACCTTTTTTTTGTGTGTTTGGATTTGAAAGTCTTTCTCTTTATATCTAATTTTGTTCTAGATATGTATTTGTAAGCGAGTTTTTTACTATTGAATTCAAATGAACTCATAACTTATTCTAGATCCACCCTTTTTTATTTTTTAATTTGACATAAACACCAAATACAAATAACTATTTTTTTTATCTCAATTCACACACACAAAATCATGAACAAAACTGGCAAAGTACCACAAGGGACCAAATGAAAAAGTGATCAGGAAAATGAAATTAAAGCACATGGCTATTAAGCTTTTTCAAGAAATGAGAACCCTAAAGAGTAGACATGTCGGACAGGTTAACTAACTCCATTTTAATTATTCTTCAGATCAGTACTTTTACTAATTTGGAACCTTGAAAATTACTCCACTTTTTAATATTAATTATTTCTTTGAATGCTTACCAGGGACATAGCGGCATGGGCACATTTGTTTGTCACGTAACACCGTTTCGTCGATAATTTTTCGTAATCTATATGTATAAATAATAAATAAAATTAAAATATTGGATAAAATATAAAAAATGACATTGCTTGCCGCTAAAAAAATTTATTTATTTATTCTCTTATCCAAATATTGATACCGCTTAATCGCATATAAAAATTCTTGCGTATGTCACTTATGTAAACATAAATTGATTGAAAGCGGCTATTTTAATATATAGTTTATGTTAAAGGTTTGATTATCATCAGTTTTCTCCCCTTATTAGGCATTCAAAAGTAGAGGTCGACAAAGAAAAGACTTTCATATCTTTAACAAAATTTTATTTTAGAAGCTTGACCCCTTTTTTCTATCATAATTATGTATAGACATTAGTCAAAAATCAAAACAGTTTTCACCTATTTCCCAACATGAAGTTGATCAATTCCGAAACCTTTTTAATTATTTTTTGGAAAAAAAACACTTTTGTACTACTTTAAAAAAAAGTTACATAAAGGAGTAAAACGCAGTATTATACTGCGAATTACGTTAACGGAAATTTTGCCGTTAAAGTAATTCGCAGTATAGTACTGCGTTTTACTTTTAAAAAAAAATATTGTAAATCGCAGTACTATACTGCGTTTTACTAAGATATATTTGTAAAACGCAGTATAATAATGCGTTTTACATTNATATTGTAAATCGCAGTACTATACTGCGTTTTACTAAGATATATTTGTAAAACGCAGTATAATAA